CTGGGAGCTTCTCTTACTTGTATTTCTACTCATATAAATTTACTTCTGCATCTGTTCCTCAATGTCAAAATTTTCTCTTCCAATATACTAAATGCCAGTCACTCCGGTTGAGGTTAATTAACAAAACAAAGACTTGAGACAGGGGAAAGACAGTGACATTGAATGAGACGGCAGAATAGGAGTAGTTACTGCAGGTAATACATGGGGGAGATGAAGAAGATAAGTGAAGGTGACTTTCCATCTCTTTGAAGTATACTCCAGCGGCCGCCATGAGACCAGAGTTAAAGGATGAAAATAGGTGCTTTGGCTAGGACATGAATTTATCTTGGGTAGATAGATGTTGAGAAATAAAGGCCATCCAAAGATTTTCCTTTTCAAACATACACATTATTCTGCATCTCAAATACCCAAGATGCAAGGTGAGCCAAGGTACCTCTTAGACATGAATAGATATTTATGGACTAGACCTCTTGGAATGCATATTCACCTACAATGTGTAACAATTTTTCAAGTATTTTATGCATAATGCAAGGAAGGGATATCTCAAACATTTCTAGCAAGCAAAGCCTGGTAAATGGAAACAGGAAGGTTGAAGGTCTATAAATGACGTTGGTTATAGCATGGTGGCTGAAAACCTGGGCATTTTGGGAACAGATTATTTTCTTGTGTTTGAATCCTGACTCTGCCACTTTTTGGCCTGACTTCTAGGGATAGTCGTGAGAATTAAATGAACTAATTTATAAAGAGTGCTTGATATTGGACCTGGCACACAATGCGTTCAGTAAATGAGTATTAATGATTGTTTAATACTCAAAATGATTGACATTTATAAGGGGTTTTGCAGATCACCAATCCTTGATTTTAATACTACTTTCCTCTCTAAGGACTTTATTTTCTCATCTATAAACCTTCCTACTCTATAAACCTACCTATTCTATCTAATCTCTCTGACTTTATACTTGGTCTTACATCCATGGTTGTGAATGTTTAGAATTTGGTTCCATAATCCAACCTTAATGCCCATCTCCGATTTAGATTACATTCACCACAGTATAGTACTGGGTTTGAAATGGCCAGCAAATTTTGGGAAACCAAAAATTATATCTCCATCTCTTATATTAAGATCCAACGTTTACCACGCAAAGCTGCATAACAGGGTCAATGATAATGTCCTCTATGAATTATTGTAAAAAATAAAATCAAAACTATTTTAAAGATTTTCTTTTTGATTTTCTTCATTTTTGGTTTATTTCTAAATGTTTTTAAATAAGTTAGTTGTATGAGCAAGCAGAAATAAGAGAATATCAAACATATCAATATGCATCTAAAAATCTGTGACATATGTAGAATTAACCAATAAAGTAAACTTTCAATAGAGCCAATTCAGCTTTTTATGTAATCTGGACCTCAGCCAGATTTTTTTTCTCTTTTGGCTTTTATTTCTTTTAACTTTTATTTATTTTTAATTAAATTTATTGAGTTGATATCAATTAATAAAATTATACTGGTTTCAAGTATACAGTTTAATAATACATCATCAGAATATTTCATTGTGTATTCACCACCCAAAGTCCATTCTCCTTCTATCACCATATATTTGATGCCCTTTCCCCTTATCCGTCTCCCTTCCACCCACCTTTCCCTCTGGTAACCACTAAAGTGTTGTGCGTGCCTATGAGTTTTTGTTCATTTGTCTTGTTTGTTGCTTTCAGTTTTTATCCCACAAGTGAGTGAAATCATATGGTTCTCAACTTTTTCTGTCGGACTTATTTCGCTTAGCATCTCAAGATCCATCCATGTTGTCACAAATGGCAGTATTTCATCTCTTCTTATGGCTAATATTTCATTGTATATATGAACCACAGCTTCTTTATCCAACCATCTATTGATGGGCACTCGGTTGTTTCCATGTCTTGACCACCATAAATAATGCTGCTATGAACATCAGGGTGGATATATCTTCATGGATAAATATTTTTAAACTTTTGGGGTAAGTACCCAGGAGAAAAATTGCTGGGTCATATGGTAATTCTATTCTTAATTTTTGAAGAACCTCCATACTGTTTTCCACTGTGGTTGTACCCATTTACATTCCCACCAACAATGTATGAAAGTTCATTTCTACCCACAACCTCTCCAACATTTGTTGATAATATCCATTCTAACAGGTGTGAGATGGTTTCGGTTGGCATTTCCCTAAAAGCTAGTGAAGTTGAGCATCTTTTCATATGTCCATTGGCCATTTGTCTTCTTGGGAAAAGTGTCTATTCAGGTTCTGCACTTGATAAAATATAGTATCCATTTATGATTAAAACAGTTAATAAAATGGGTATAGAAGGAAAGTACCACCCATCATTAAGGCCATATATAACGAACCCTCAGCTAATAGCATACTTAATGGTGAAAAACTGAAAACTTTCCCTGTAAGATCAAAAACAAGACAAGGATGCCTGCTGTCACCACTCTTATTCAGTATAGTATTGAAAGTCCTATCTAGAACAATCAGGCAAGAGATAGAAATAAAAGGCATCCAAATTGAGAATGAGGAAGTCAAATTGTCGCTCTTTGCAGATGACATGATTTTTTATATAGAAAACTCTAAAGACTCCACTGAAAAAACTATTTGAAACAATAAACAAACACAGTAAAGTTGCAGGATACAAAATCAATGTATAAAAATCCATTGTGTCCCTATATACTAACAATGAAATTTCAAAAAAAAAAAAAAAAAAAGAAATGAAATAAAAAACTTTCTTTTGTAATTGCAACAACAACAAAAAATACCTAGGAATAAACTTAACAAAGGATGTCAGCCAGATTTTTGACAAGAACGAGGTAATTAAATTATTTTATCGAAGCATTTACAAGTAAGTATACCATGAGATTGTTTAGAGTGGGCAATGAGGTAACATTAGACCATCTGAACAAATTTTATAACCTTTTTTATTTGCCACTTAAAATATCTGGATAAATAGAAGGACTTATCGTGCAATTATATATAAAAGTTAGAAATTGTTTTCATTGGAAAGGAAAGTTTCTGAAATGTAAGATCTTTGAGAATGTTTATCTAAACATTAGCATATTTCTTCTGTCTTTGAATATAATCTTATAATTAAAAATTATAAATAAGTATTCAAAAAATCTTATGCCTATCATTAAAATCCAAACAATATTAAATTCAGGGAATCTGTTTTAAGTGATCTTAGTGTTTCTTGAAACACTCTATTGCCAAATTAGATGATCAGAGAAGATTATCACTTTTAGAGTATTGTGTGTTATCAGGTATTTAATCTTGTTACTTTTTAAATTCTGTGGACTGGGGAAGGGAAGTAACATTTGTTTCCTGCTCACTACATGCCAAGAACTTTGCTTATCTGCTCATAAATCCTGGAGATGATCTTGGGAGGTGACTTCATCTATTCTTGTTTCACTTAGGGATGAAATGAATATTGAGGCATTAAGTAACTTGCTCAAAGTCACAATCCCAAGAAATGCACAGAGACATGAGTGGGTAGAGGGTGTCCAATCCAGATCAGATTAATTTCAAAACTACCTTTCATTTTATTTTTTCCCACTTTACTATTATATGAAAGACTATTTGAGAAAAAAAAAAAAAAAACCTTCTTCCCAAGTAAGGCTTAAAATGAATACCTCCTGTTTTTGATGTCTAACAGAAATATGCAATGTCAAGTACATTGATACCACTTTTTGAAAGATTTTAGGTGATTTATCTAATTTTTGTATGATCTCTGAGGACTGTCTTGATTGTTTCTTGAATAGGGCAGAAGAAGTAGGAGTAGTTTTATGGAATGGGATGATTAAGGAGAAACCAGTTGTCTGACTGCATACTGCTAGTATACTCTGGAAAGTTCCCAAGAAGAAAAGTTCTATTACTTCTCCAAAGTTATAAAGTAAACTAAACATTTAGTACTGATATTGGTAGTTAATGGAAATTTAAAGCCAATTTTAATTGCTATGACCTGTCATGAATTCAATACCTAGTCAATTTTGGTATCGCTACAGTGTTTATTGATAACCCAGTTGTCTTGTTTTGTTAATTTAAGTCATGCTGGGAAATCTGTAGAGAAGAAAAGCTCTTTGTACCTAGAATATTTGTTTTCATTTTCCAAAGTGTATAATGTATTATTAATACTTAGTCTATGTTCTTATTTAATTCTATTTTTGCAATACCTGAAAACTGACACTTTCCCCCTTTTGCACATTTTCCTTATTTATATATCCTTATACTTAAAGTATATAGATAATAGCAGTAATTCATAATTCTTGTTATGAATTGACAGAAAAGAGCCTAGAATTTCATACAGGTCTGAAAATAACTAGATTATATTTATGAAATATTTAAGTGTAACTTACTCTTAAATAATATTGAAACTCCAATTGTTTTAAACATTCTAGAGATTCATCTAAGAGAGTCATTTCATATGTTACCTCTTACTTAGGTTTACTTCTATAATATGATTTTAAGATCATGGTCTAATGAATTTTTTTTTGATATTCTTTGTAAAAGTCCATTTTATCTAGAAATAGCAAAATT